ATTACAATGATCCATGTTTAAGATTTCTATTCTTTAGTTTATTTGTTTTATAAGTGTGACGTTATTGGGAATAGTATATAAGTATAAGAGTAAACAAATATATATACAGTAGTGTAAGTAAGTTTATTCATTTGTTTTAAGCACGAAGTTGCACAATGGACTATCTCCACTGTGCTCACCACAGGAATCAAACAGCGAAGTTTCGTGTTATAAGCCCTTAAGCTTACTGCTGAGCCAGAGGGAGCGTAAGAAAATCAACCTATATGTAAAATTTATATAAAATATAGAAAGAGGTTAAGAGTTATCACAGAAATACAAAATTATTTAAACGAAAATAGCCCTTTTCTTTTCCTGGATATTCACAATTGTATTCATATTACTATCTTGCACGACACTCTTTAATGTTCGCTTACTTGAATGAAATGACTGGATGTGTGGTATCCCACTTTATCACACTGAAATGTGTTGTGACAAATGTGAAAGTATACCAAAGTATAAGAACATTAATACTAATACATCACTTCAACACCACGTTGACCGGCATGATCAAGTGGTTAGGGTGCTTGACTCGCAATCTGAGGATCGCGGGTTCGAATCCTCGTCCCACCAAACATGCTCGCCCTTTCAGCCGTGGGGGCGTTATAACTTGACGGTTAATTCCACTATTCGTTGATAAAAGAGTAGCCCAATTGTTGGCGGTAGGTGATGATGACTAGCTGCCTTCACTCTAGTTCTTCACTGCTAAATTAGGGACGGCTAGCGCAGATAGCTCTCGTGTAGCTTTGCGGGAAATTCAAAACAAAACAAATTAGATAAGATTCTAATGGTCATCACAACGAGAAATGTGATAATGTGTGAGCAGTAGATACAATACATATCTACCAGTCTCTAGAGAGTTATCAACGTTTTTTCCAATCCCTATACAGAAACAACTTTTGGACGCTATGTAAAACCACATAAAGTTTTCTTCTGTTTGTACAGTGAAAGTGAATACAAACCCCCGTTTCGTGTTTATAATGAGGAATGTCGTTACTTCCCAGTGAATACAAACCCCCGTTTCGTGTTTATAATGAGGAATGTCGTTACTTCCCAGATGAAATGGTCTTAATACAGAAGTCGAAGGACCTTTGAAATAAGTAAAGCAAATAATATTTAACATCTAATAATCTATGCCAAAACGCAATTGTTATTATAGTTTCAAAACGAGAAGTTATTAGATGTTAATTAAGGAATGCATGAAGACTATATATATCTATTTCCATGAATGACGAGACTAGAAACATGTGAAGACTAAATTTCCATGGCTAATGACCCTGAAGAACATGAAGACAAGATTCTCACGAATGATGATAATAAAAAAAATTAAGACTTCCATAGGAGATGAGTCTAACAGAACTTAAAGACTAGGATAATAGAAGATTGTGAAGACCAAACGTCCACGGTTGATGAATCCACAAGAGTATGAAAACTAGATTTCCATAGATAGTGATCCTAGAAGAATATGAAACTAAATTTCCACGGGTGATGAATGTAAAAGAACGTGTGGATAATAGTAAAAGACTACATTTTCACGAATTATGATCATAGAAAAGTGTTAAGGGTACGATTTCCATCGGTGATAAGTCTAAAACAGAATGAAGACTAAGTTTCTATGACGTTGCGTCTATAAGAGAGTGAAGTATTGTTCTCCATAATAGTTTGTTTGTTTGTTTGTAATTAAGCACAAAGCTACACTATGGGCCAT